AGGCCACCTGTTTTCCAGACCAGCTACCTAGAAGAAGGATCTGGAAAAAGGGACAGTAATTGGATAAGTTTGGTGAAACAGAAAGAATAGTTTAGGAAAGTGTCTTGCGACAGAGACTGGTTAGACACTCACAAACCCCGTTTTCTCCCCCTGGATGTACAAGGCTGCTGCAATTCTCAGCTGCAGGTCTCTCCTCGCAGACAAACCAGCTCTTTCCACAGCCTTTCTGGGAGTCCCACATACTCCTGCTGTGGCTCCGGGCTGGTGTGGAAGCATGGTTCTGGGGATGGTTGCAAGGAGGCTGAGAAAGGTTACCACTCAGCCAGGTGCATCTCACTGGGTAGAGCTGGGGAGCTCCTTGTGGGACAGAAGGCTGGACAGAAGGTGGCAGGTAACAGTTCTTAAGGTTGAATTCCCATAAAATACTTTTTTGTCCCCCATTTCTGGTTTTCCTCTGTGGATCACAGGTTTTGAGGACAATGAGCTCGTATCTGTGGTAGGTGAATAAGGATGTCCCCAATACTCTGTAGAGTTAGATGCCCCCCAGGGCCACATTAGCCCTCATATGTTGTCAAGTATTCTGCCTTACAGATAACCTATAAAATGCCATCAGTAAGTGTCATTAAATATAACCCAAGAACATGTTCATACTGTGGACTCACATCCTCTGCCATGAATATCCACTGATGCTAGAGTGACAACTCCATGAACTACTAAGCCATGGATTATGGTGAAAATGTGAACTTGTCTATTGGAAGAACGAATTTGCTGACTGACAAATGAAGATATCAACATTCCGTATTTCCAAGCTCAGTTCTCCTCATTTCTTAATTTTTCTGGTACAAAGCAAATAGGTTTTATAACATTCTCCTGGTTCTTTTATTAGAAAAGCATGTTGATCTATGCTTGCAGCTAAATGACAGTATTACAGGTCATTGCACAGATTTAGCACTGTTCAAGTCACAAAGTTATTCTCAGTGAGAATCAATTATACTTAGACATTTACTGCTAACATAAGGGAGGTGGGGGCCCAGGACCAGCACAGGGAGACCTCACTGCACCCTGACCTATAGCTCTCCCCTCTGCCCAAGTCTGGCCCTCCATCCCTGACAGAGGGCTCCCAGCGGTACCTTCCTTATGTGACTAGAATCACTGCTGAGTGATCCAAATCCAGACGAATTCAGGGTCAACACTGTCCAGGGTAGGAATCGTGGGCAAACGGGCAGTAAAGGAAGGAAAACCTTAATTTTTTTCATTAGCAGCAGGATATTGGGTATGGCAAAGTTTAGTTAAATAACTAAATATGAATGTCATTCTCCAAAGAGACAAAATCTGCTGGAAGCCCAGCTGGTTACCTTGCCTCTGACCTGGAGCTGTCCCATCTGACCTTGTCCAAGGGAAGGACAGATTACCCAGGCATTCATAGATCACTGACCCCTTCATTTCCCATGTCTAGTTAACTGAGACCCAGGGTCTAACATGGGCAAATGCCCCCCACCCCCACCCCAGGCTGTGTCTCCTTCCTCACTTTGCTAGGGATAGAGGCTTGTTCCTGTCCTAAAATAAGTTTCCATCATATTTAAATCATGATCCAAATCCTTTTATGTGGCCCATGGTCTCCACTGCCCTTCTGTAACTCCAGGGGGGGGGCGGGAAATATGTTTCCAGCCTGGGGCAAATAAGCTTTGAAGCCAAAATCAGTCAAAGGGAGAAATAAAGTGGGAGAAACAGTCAAAGGGAGAAATAAAGTGGGAGAAACCTGTTTACTGCTTACAAGCAGTTGTCTACTCCTGCTCACCTGTACCTCTTGTGACCCAGCTGCAACAGGACCCCACCAAACCCCTCCAGTCCAGAAAGGCCCTCACTCCCTCCACCCCCTTTGTGATTACCTATTGGTATAGAGATGGACTACTTCTCTCTACCCCTTGGAAACACCTACTGATACACACTAAGGCCAGGTGAGATTCTGGAAATATTGCAATTTTACCCACACCTTCCCTGCCTGGCTCTGCCCTCCTAGACCAGCTCCCTGCCTTTGGCCATGCAGTTTCTCTAGGTTTCCCCAGCTGTCTGGTTCTTTTTCCTCAGGGCCTTTGCATGTGTTCTTTGTTCTACATGGAACACCTTTCTCCCTTGCTCTGCAGGACTCCCTCTGTCTCAGAAGGACCAATCCTGACCACTCTCTCAGCCACAGTACTGCCCTCACGCACCTTTATCCTCAATGCCAACTACTTGCTTGTCTCCTGCTACCACGTAACTCTGTCCTGATATTTTGAGCTTCTGTTTGCAAACCAAGGTCCTCTGCAGGATTTGTGCTTTTAGGAAGACACTGGAAGAGTTTCGGCCACAAATCTTTATGTTCCTGTGTTTGCTGTATGTGGAATGGTGATGCATGGCCAGCAAGAAGTCAAGTGAAACTTCATCAGCCAGCCTGCCCATCTCTAAGGTGGGCAGGACCCCTGGGGCACTGACTCCAGAGAGCATGGCTCAGCATCCAGAGAAGGGGGAAGAGTGGAGCCAGGCCCCGCCTGCTGAGCCTGCCGTCCTCTCCCCACGTGGGAGAGCAATTCGAGTTCTGCTCCGGTTCTGAGACAGACTCCATGCCATAGACAGGGCTGTGGTCCTTGATTCTGAATAATGTAGTGAGTGTTACTGAGCACCCACCATGGGCATAAACATGTCCTGCAATAGTCATGCACTTCCTGTGATTTAAGAAACGTAATTTCATGGAAGGAACTCAGATAAACTTTGTTTGCAGGTGACCAGAAGTCTGCTTATTGTGCCGACCTGCTAGGCAGAGACAGGTGAAATGCTGGGACCACCTACTGGAAAGGAGCCTTTCCAGTGTTACTGTATTGGCCTGATGCCACTTTTCCAGGATCTGTTTACCAGTGGGTGGGTAATAATCCTCACACACAGAACCGAGGCACCTTCTCTCCTGTGCCTGCTTATCACATCCACAAAGCGCATTTCGTAGTTGTTTGACAACCTGACTACTGTCTGCATCCTCTAACACAAACAAAGAATAGGCAGTTTAAGGACCAGAGATCTGAATGGTCTTTCTTAACACCAGAATAGTGCCTGACTCCAAGAGGTATTCCATGCGCATCTGCTGAATGAATAAATGATCTGTGAATACGTTAGTAGAGAAGAACCCTATTTTAATGAGATGAGTAGGTATAAAGAGTTTTCTTCATGCTCGCCCAGCATGAGATTAATAGTTAGGACACAAATTTTTAAATAATGATGACCAGAATATGGTTCTGCTTTACTTACTGAGATAATTCTGATGTGCTACAGTCTGGGCATGTTTTCTGCTGACGTGGGAGACCTTCTGAATCTCTATGATCATGTGCAGAGCTGCGGCTCCTTGGAACTGAGAACCAGGGGTACCTCCCCCGTATGCTCCAGCCCCGCTGGGCACACTGGAGGAAGAGGGGGACAGGCAGGTCATGGGTCAGCCATGTCATCAGGCATGGGTTCTAAATTACCTTCCATTCTCCAAAACCCTGAGAGGCCCCATGCGCCCAACCGTGATCCCCAATCTTGATTCATGTTTGTATCAAAAATGCGATCTTTGGCCACTTATGCCTCAGCCTTTTAAGGAAATGTGCAAAGCAGAAAACCATGTTATCTTCAGGGTTCCCGAGGCATGAATAAAGAAGATAAACAACAATCTCTCTCATTTAGTTCTTTCTCTCAATGAACTGAATTAATTTGTTCACTCATTTATTTGCATGTGGCAATCGAACATTGAGGGATAACTCCATCTTTTCTTAGTGGCATGTTTTTGGAGAAAAATGGCTCATTTTTTCTCCTTTTCTCCTATGTTTTGGCAATGTAAGCAGCATCTCTCTTTAATATCACCATTTAATTTCCAGTAGAAAGAAAAAATTACACCTAAAATAATCTCTGTTTTACACATCAAAATGCACATGTCAAAGAGCCAAAATCATATTTAATAGTAAAGATTAGCCCAGAATACTTACTGCCATTTGATTCCCTAGGTTCCTAATTTAATAATTTTAGTAATTTTATCACAAACCCTCTGTTAAATTCAGCATGGGCAGTATAAACAAGCAAACGTGAACACTGAGAACCTGCATTATCTGATTAAACGTCCATATTGGTCAAGGAAATTGAGTAAATGTGGTTCTGGTCAACTTCGTAAGAAGCAGAATGTGTCTTTAATCCAGGATTCTTGCCCAGGACCACACATTTTGTCTCTCTTTTTTCCTTAAGCTCTTTACTTTCTCATGTGTGAATTAAATTGCACGTACCTAGGGCAGAAGGGACAAGATGGAAAAGGAGAGAATAGAAATCTAACGTAGAGGAGCTGTTCTGTTCCTGTGTGTGTAGGTGGGGCTGGGGAAGAAGGGTAGGAGAAATTACATTCCTTTAAAGATTAGGGGTTTTTCCTAATTACTCAACTTTTGCGAGAGAATTGACCAATACTGAAAGCAATGTCCTTTCAAAATGTTTGTGTTTCTAATGTCTTTCTGATTATCCACTTACATGAGGTAATCGCCTGGAGTTACATGGGTCTGTACGTTTATGCGGAGTTACACGGGGTGTATATGGTTATCGAGAGCTGTACGGGTTGTGTGCGGATGGTGGGGGTGCCAGGGGAGAGGAGACAAAGAGCAGTCCTGGTGACTCAAAGCCTGTAGTAGACGTGGGGGGCGGCGGAGGCGAAGACAGGAACGTGCCCGAGCCTGAAGAGGTGTCTCACGGCTGAAAGGAGGCAACAGCGCCCCTGCCTGGGGCCATCTCGGTGGGGGGTCTTCGGGTGAACGTATCTTGATTAACGGTATTTTAATGCTAATTTAGCACTCCAGAGCCTAAAGGCTCTGGCTGTTCTGATAAGGACAAGACTCCTCCTCCTCCTCCTCCTCCTCCTCCTCCTCCTCCTCCTCCTCCTGAAAAAAAAAATCAATGAGTTTACAAATCCCAGCTGGTGTTTTTGCGGGGCAGGAAGTCCGGAGCCAACTGTGCGCGCCGACGGGCCGGGGAGCGGCCTCTAGGCGGCGCCGACGAGCCCGCCGCGAGGGAAAGCCCCTGGCGAGGCCCGAGCTTCCCGGCGTGCGCCCCGGACGCGAGCGGTCGGGGAGCGTCCCGGGAAGCCTTCGGAAGAGAAGCGAAGCCGAGCTGACCGCGGAGAGGCGCCTCGCGGCAGGCAGTCCCGCAGGCCTTCAGCGCCCGGAGCACCTGTTTCCGAGAGCCCTGCCGGGCGGCCATCTACGAGACCTGCGGGCCCAGGCGGGGTCCAGCCGGCTGTCCTCCCTGACCATCTTCTCGGAGTAGACGCCGGTCTCCAACACGGCCAGGTAAGCCCCGGTGCTTCCCTTTGAGCCTTCCAGACGCTTCGCTGTGGACGAGACAGAGGTGTCAGCTGATGAAACAGCCTGAGTGCATTTTTGAAATGCGTGTCATTTTTGGGTTGCGTTTGAACAAGCTTCCCCCATTACTGTGCGTCCGCGCTACTATTCTCAGACATGAGATTGCCCCTTTGTTTTCAGGAAAACATCGGAAACCCGATTTTGCTATTGGTCGCTCGTTTGGTTTAGTGAGGCAAACTGTGTGCACCCTTAGCGAGCTTGAGTATCTTGGCTACTAAGACAACCGGTGTCTCCTGGAAGCGTGAGACGTGTCTCAGGTTTGCGCCTGGGCCAGGCTCATGGGGAGGGCAGGCAGCAGCTGGGACTTTACTTTAGCTGGACTCTGCATGCGCGTCCCACCCCCAGGTGCCCTCAGTGTTGTGGACACCTGTGGAGACATTTCAGGTGCAGTTTTGAATCAAGTCTGATACCTGATGTCATCACCCCTGTCTTTGGGGACTGGGGAGGCGATGGGAGGAGGGGGTTATGTATTTCTGATGACTGAGACTTTCCTTTCCTGCCAAGAGGGTCTGACAGGCCACAGGACAGTCCGTGTCCCTCCTCTCGCGCCTGCTGGGAGTCCCAAAATCCTGCAGCAGTCGCCCCTGTGTGGCGGAGGCTGAAGTGTTAGGACAGAGAGGGCAGCAGGCGAGGGCCCAGGAGGGTTGGGGCAGGGGATACCTTAGCAGGGCAGAAGCCCCGTCCACCAGGGGAACTGGAGGGTGGTCGGGACACAGGGATGTGACAGGAATGAGGAGTGGGGAGATGGGGCAAGTGAAAGCCAGGCCTCTCCAACTAGCCTTGCTCTGTGATTCTGAAGGTGCATTTGTGAGACACTCTCTGACCAATGATAAAACTGAAGCTAATTCAAAGTATTAATGAGGTGAAAAGCCATAATAAATTAAAGGAGAAAGGGAGTCAGTTCATATACTAAGAGAATATGTCTAATTGGCTTTGGTACTTACTCTGAGATCTCTAAGCCACAGAAAGCCTTTAAAGTTACGTTTTGACTGAGTTCACCAAAAAGAGTTACTCATCAAGATTGGGAATCAGCGTTTGGGTGGATGGTTGCCGGTGTGTACCCTTCACTGCTGAGGAGGAGGCCTGGGAACTTGGGGCTGAGCCAGACTGCATGGTGTGGAGTATGAATTGTGACAGCGCATTGGGAGGGTAATCCTGGAAACACATGTCTTTGGGAGGAAAAGTAAATAAAATTTTCCTGAAATGTTTGATTTTCTGTCTGGCCACTACCCAGCTTCTAAAAGTAAACAGAATTTTCATTTTGTTGAAGATAGATCTTTGTGAAGGTCAGAAGGGTCTGGGGCTCACCCTTCTTTCTGAAGTGTCCCTGTGTCCCCATCCCTAGCATGCCCTGTCACTGGCAGAAGCCCAGTGTTTGCTTGGGGAAGTGACAGAGCCCGGTCTCTCCCACTCACACGGGCAAGCCAGACTAACCTTTCAACTGGAAACATCTCGTCAAAGTGCCTTGGTCCCAGTGGACCACAGATAGAAGCCAGGTCACCTGAGTCTCCTTTCTGGGTCCAGGTGAGTGAGTTTTGTGGTTTCCAAAAAAGGAATTCCTTCTCAAGGAAATGTCCAGGAACTCAACTTCAAAGACTCAAGTCAATCTGAAATTAAAGCATGGAAACTATAAACAGGTTGGTGTTCTTGAGGCTGGCCTAGTGGTCGCCTGGTTGGGCCCCTCTGCTGGTGTCCTGCCCTTGCCTCTTAGCAGCTTTCCTCAGTTAGCCTAGAGGACACCTGCTCCTTGCTTTGATGCTGTCTTAACCTCTGCCTAGGTAATTGCACACACCAGTAAATCGTTAATTAACTCACATTAAGCTCATTTAGCACATTAGGTCAATTAAGAAACAAAGGCCCCAGTCCCTGCATCTGAGACTGCCACCCACTGAGGCCCTTCACTGCCCATTGCTGCCCATCACTCCCATCACAGCCTGGGATGCTGGCCTGAGTGAATTCTCATATAGCAGGCTGGACTTTCATTCAATCTGTTTTTCGTTTTCCTGAAAAATGAAGCAAAAGAGAAAAAATAGATGTCCTGTCATTTAACCTCTGCCCTATATTCCTATACCACTTTACAAAGCATTTTCATGCAGGTCTTCCCTATTCTCAAATAAGAAATAGGGCTTAGAAAGGTTCTATGACTCACAAATAATGATTATGGCACCAATGACAGCTAACAGACCTGGAGCACCTAGAATGCCGGGCCCTTGTGCTAGGAAATGTGCTCTTCGGAGCATGAACCTAGGACTCAGTGCCTGCCTCTGGCTGCACCCCTGCCCTGTAAGGACCGGTGGAGAAGGTGCTATGACAACCACCAGGTAAATGGGAGGGTAGAGGGGGCAGACTTCCCCTTCATGTGTATCAGTCCCCAGGGGCCTGTCAACCCAGATGCCACACTGCTTACTGGCCTCCTGTCCTCATCAGAGGCAAGCACTGCAGGGGAACAATGACGTTTTGTTCTTTGTGAGCCATCCCCAGAAAGGTTTGGTAATAAGGAAAATACAGCTGATTTGTATGTAACACAAACATAGTTGACTATATAGCTTTGGTAGGTTCAGTCTTGTACCCTCTAGTAACAGAGAGAAGTTTTCAGGTGGCTTTGGGGTTTAGGCGCCCTGACAAACCCCTTGGCCTCTTTTAGTATAAACAGGTGAGACTGCACTGTATTTAACTTTTTGTCATCCTTTGTCCTGAGATAGTCACAAAGCATTGCCCAAAGGGGGTCACCTTCCACAGTCAGAGCTCAGAAGAAAGTTTTGTCCTGGGTCCTGGAAGCAGGGTGGACCTCCATTAGATGGCATATAAGAGACTCCAGTAACTACAGGTGTCCTCCGTCCCCACTAGCACATAGTCGGCACTCAATGAAAATTCCCACTGATGGAATGCATGGGATCCTTCTTGTCAATGAAAGGAAACCCATCACCCCTTCTACTCACACCATGGGGGTCAGGGGTGGCCCAAACAGCAAAGTACTCTAAGCCAACAAGCAAACAGATTCCAGCTGGCAAAGCCACCCTTTCCAGGTACAGTGATGTGTCATTCTTAAAGGCTAGGTGCCCAAGGATGTTAAACACACTGGCTACAAGGTAGAGCAGACCAAAGCTGACCTCCTGCCTCCACACCTTCCAGAAATGCCCAGAGGTCTGTGTTCACAGCTGCACGCACAACTAGCCAGGAGGCCTTTGTTTTCTACTTCTGACAAATCAGATCACTGTGGGAATGGATGGTGGTAAGGAGACTTGCATAGGGAGATGCATTTGCACCGACAGCCACAGCTGTGCCCCCCAGCAGGCCCACATCATATCAAGTCCCTTCACAAGCCATTGTGCACTAAGCACTGCAGGAAGGTGCAGTGGCTTGTGAGTCCCAGTGAATTCAGCAAGCAGAGCAGTGCAGTCACAGTCGTCCTGCCTTTACTAATAGCAGTGAGGCCCAGGGTGCCTGCAAGCCGAGCTCAGCTGTGGCATTTCTGCAGCCCTTTAGTATCTCTACTGCTAAATGATACTATTCAACAGCTATACACGAGCAACTAAAAGGTAGGCTCAGTACTGAAACAAGGTATTTGTCTCCTGAAAGTAGTAGGGAGGTCACTCTGCCAGCATCATGTTAACCCTGGTATCAAACACTTTCTCAGGATATGAAAGAAGATGAACAAACTAGACTGCAAATGAGAAATGAGAGGTCACAGTTTGGACAGCTGTCACACCATTACCAAATCTTCTCTCTCAAAACAGTATGAAGGTGCCTAAGAAAATTTAAAACGGAACTACCATATGACCTAGCAATTCCACCTTAGAGAGGTATTTGCCCAGAGAAAATAATAACACTAATTAAAAAAAATATATGCACCCCTATATTCATTGCAGCATTATTTGTGATTTATCCGTTTCACCTGGGTCATCCAATTTGCTGGCACAATTATTCATAGTGATCTTGATAATCCTTTGTATTTCTGTGATATTGGTTGTAACCTGTCTTTCATTTTTAATTTCAACTGAGTGCCTTCTTTTCCTGGATGAAGCTGGTTAAAGTTTTAACATATCTTGCTTGTCTTTTCAAAGCACCATCTTTTTACAGTGATCTTTTCTATTGTTTGCTTAGTCTCTGTTTCACTTATTTCCACTCTGATCTTTATGTCCTTCCTGCTACTAACTTTGGACTTTAGTCTTCTTTTTCTAGTTCCTTTAAGTGGAGGTTAGATTCTTTGAGATTTTTCTTGTTTTTTGAGGTAGGCCTGTAACACTTAAGCTTCTCTCTTAGAACTGCTTTTGCTGTGTCCCAAAGATTTTGAAACACTGTGTTTCCATTTTCATTTGTCTAAAGGTATTTTTTGATTTTCTCTTTGATTTCTTCCTTTACCCACTGGTTGTTTAGTAGCATGTTGTTTAGCCTCCACGTGTTTGTGATTTTCCATTTTTTTCCTGTAGTTGATTTCCAATTTCATACCACTGTGGTTGGAAAAAATGCTTGGTGTGATTTCAGTCTTAAACTTATTGAGACTTGTTTTGTGGCTTACCATGTGAACAAACTATCCTGGAGAATGTTCCATGTTCACTTGAAAAGAATGTGTATTCTGCTGGTTTGGGATGGAATGTTCTGTATATATCTGGTAAGTCCATTTGGTCTAATGTGTTATTCAAAGACATTATTTCCTTATTGATTTAATGTCTAGTGATCTATCTATTGATGTAAGTGGGGTGTAAAGTCCCCTATTGTTATTATATTACAGTCAATTTCCTTTTATGTCTCTTAATATTTGCTCTGTGTATTTACATGCTCTGTTGGGTGCATATAATTGTTATATCTGCATGCTGGATTGAACCCTTTATTATATAATGCTCTAATTTGTTTTTCATTATAGTCTTTGTTTTGAAGTCTATTTTATCTAAGTATTGCTTCTTTTTTTTGCTTCCACTTGCGTGGAA